AGGCAGACAGGCAGGCAGGCTGAGGGAGAGGGAGAAGCAGGCTCCCGATGATGCGGGTGCTCGATTCCAGGCCACTGGGATAATGACCTGAGCGGAAAGCAGACCCTTGACTGACTGAGCCACCCAGGCGCCCCAAAATAAATAAAATCTTAAAAAAAAAATACACACGGACAGCAAAACAATTGAATTACGAAGTACCTCCAGCCACAACATCATGCAACTGAATCACTGGAAAACAAAGCTATATGTAAGCATTTAGGGATGTAGCATATATTCAGCGAAAAAAAGGATACAAAAGTGCTTTGATGTCGATTTTGAGTTTTAAAGTTTTCGTATAACTATAAACCCCTGTAATTTGAAAGAACCATGCCCAGTGCTCTCCATTTGTGTGCCAATCATGTGACCTGGGTTAAGTCCCTCAAGCCGTTCAGAGCCGGTTCTCTCCTGCGTAAAATGGCGATAATGCCAAACGGGGCTGTCCTGGAGATTAAATGGGATCGCTGTCTAGAAAGGTGCCGGGCCCGTGAGCAGGGACGCAGCGTTCCTTCCCTTGCCCTCGAGGGCACGACTTCCCGCACGTGGGGAAGGCTGCCACCAGAGATCAGCTCCAGGCTCGCCATCTGCCTGCGCGGGGGAAACGAGTTAGAGCGTCAGGCTTTCCTGCTGAGCCCGCTCCCGCCCAGTCCGCTGGCTGCTGTTCTCGCGCCTTCCCGGCGGCCTCCGGGCGGCGGCCAGGGCTTCGAATCCAAACAGTGCCGGGACGGGGTGTGGCCCGCACGCCGCAGCTGGCGCGGGGCGGGGCGGCGCGGGGCGGCCCTCCAGGCTCCGGCGAGACCCGGCGCCGGCGCAGACAGCGACCCCACCGCCAGTCCGAGAGCGAGCGTTTCCCACGCCCAGCGCGCGAGCCCTCACCCCTCACCCCGGCGCGCCGGGACCCAGTGCGCGCTCGCGGCTCGCCGCCAGGGGGCGGGGCTTGGCGAGGAGCGACGGGTCAGGGCGCCAATCGCGGGGCTGCTCCGCCTTCGGGCTCGGTTTGAAATTCCGCGGTGACCTAACGGCTCCCGGAGCCGCGGCTTGAAGCAAGACAGCCGGTGCTTGTGGGAGGTTGCTGCGCCCAGCCCCGCGTGGAGGAGGTGTGGGGCCTCGACGGCCGGCTGCTTGGAGCGTCCGCCATGAGGAGAAGGTGCGGGCCGCGGGAGAGTCGAGGGGACGCGGGAGGGAGCGACCCCCGTCCCGGGTGCGGGGCCCCCGAGGCGGCCCGGGGCGCGGGTGGTACGTCAGCCCGCGCCGAGTGAGGCCCGGGCGCCGCCGGCAGG